CTATTTATATTACGAACTTTGTACATTTTGCAATAATTCTATTGGAATGTGAAAATATGTCATAAATTATTTTGTTATCTTTCCTGAGGCCTTTTTAATAGTTTAAAGTAATTAAATGCATAACGTTGAAACAATAAAATTTTAATTTACGTACTTTTATTTAATATTTTTATTTATCACGGATATTTACAAACATGTTTTTATATTTTAATAATGCTTCCGTGAGCCAAGAATAAGTTTGGTGATGAACAAACAATGTTACTTTTATGGTTGTGTTTATAGCTATTGCTTAGACAAGAGGTCTTTGGGCGACACGAGGCCTTTAGATTCGCAACTTTAAGAAGAGTTAGTTTTTTACATGATAAAGCGCCTTTCCGGCGTTCTCCGAACCAGTGCCTTACTGGATTTTTGCTTCTGCTTAACATTCGAGAAGTCAAGAATGGATGAGCGGTTTTCAAGTAGGGAGGGACTTTTACCGACTTCCAAATAAACTGGTTTTTTTTTACAGTTTATTAAAAAAAAATGTTTTAGTTTAAACTAATACAGTGTTTAAAATAAAATTAACTAACTAAAACTATATATATTCATAATAATAAATAATGCTTAACAATAACAACTTGACACGTCTATCATTGCAATGAAAATGATTTAAGTATAATAATTATAATTCATCAACATTTTTTTGTAATTCTAGGATTACGAAATCATAATGACATAATAAGTGACATTGGATTCAATAACAATTTTTTTAAAATGGATTAAAGTTTAAAAGTTTTTTTTAAACTTGAATCCATTTTAATTTTAACTCTCATGTTTATACGTATAATGTCTTTATTTTATCGTATAAGAGCGCAATCGTGCAGAATATTCACCATTGACTACCGCCGGCCATGGGCACCTGCAAGTCAATAGTCAAAAGTACGTTATCGTCCTTTAAGATCCTCCTACCCCCCCCCCCCCCCTCACCCCTCCTTCTGGTAGCCTCACTCCATCGGTAACAAGCAACTAAAGAATCGGAAAGAATTACTTTGGCAAGCGTCCACAAGCTCCAAGTCTTTACAAACGCTTGAATGCCATTTACACGCTTGCGAGTGTGCTAATGTGTTCCGGACGGGCAAACATAGCAGACGTAGACATATTTTTTATATACGGAGGCACTAAACAAAAAAAAATATCTCTAGCCCTACTGCTCAACGAAACTGCTCAATCAGTAGAGCATTGAGACCTAATCTTGATTTCCGACTGCTCAACTACAATACTTCAAGTATCAAATTAAGCAGTGTAAATACGTTGCAAACGCTTCCCGCGAGCTTCCTTTGATCTGTGTTCAAATAACGGCACTAGTACCGATCGACGACAAGCATACGCGAGCCGAGCCAAACAGTCCGTTTATAAGCTTGTATTTGTGGATACTTGTCAAGGCTCGCCATGCGTGTAAACGGCCTATAATACTGATTTTCTGTCAGGCCGTGGTATCATTTCGGTCGAACCAGCGCTTTTCTGCCGGAGCATGGCACTTCCGCGGCTATTTACCTTATTTATTTATTTATAAGTAGGTACCTATTTATGTGCGGGATATATTAGTTACTTATATTGTTTATTATATATATTATATTAGACAATATTCTCCATTTATTTTTTAAAATGATTTCGTGTATTCAACTTTTTTTTAATAAATTTCTTTAGCGATGCCGTTTGTTAATATTCGTTGTGGAAAATAGCCACAATAAATCTCAGTGTAAATGTTTGCACATTAATGCAGTGTTACCGTTCATCGACAGAATCAACCAATCACCGAGGCAGTAACTACTTGTGTGTGTGATTTATGTTTTTCACAATATGAAACAAACATTCAACAAAACATTTCAATATCCAGAGCTAACAATATTAGCGCTCGTTTAAACACCTGTTTACATATTGTAAGTTCGTAATATCGTCACGACTTTCAATAATTGTTTTCATAGACAACTATATGGCAGTAGGGTTACCAAGCTGAATTATATGTCAAATTAAAACAAAATCTATGCAACATGAACCAACATTAATATTTATACGTAACTAACTGACCCGACGAACTTCGTACCGCCTTAGAAATAATAAATTAGGTGACAAATTTGGTGACATACCGAGAGCAACGCTAGCTATCGGGTCCAATTGTATTTTCAAACCATCCAGGAACCCATTGAAATATACACACAAAATTTCAACCAAATCGGTCCAGCCGTTTAGGAGGAATTAGATTACTAACACACCTACAGAGAATAATATACTCGTATATTAAGATGTACCTCGAAATGTACAGAGATTAATTAAACGCAAATATGACGGATTCAATGACAGGTGTATGACAAACAGAATAACTACTACTAAAATTACAGAATATAAAAAGATAATAATAAATGCATGGGCAAATAATAAGACGGTATAAAAAAAGAAAAGATCACCTGGTCCAGACGGACTGCACAACTTTTGACTTAAGTGGTTCCGAAGTGTGTTTGGCATCTCAATTCCAGGCTACATTGGATTCGTGTTCATTACCCCCCCCCCCCCCCCCCCCCCCATTTTTAACCGCTGGCATAACCCACTTACTCTATAAATCTGGTAGTGTCATGGATCCCAAAAATTTTAGACCTATTAACTACATGTTTACCAACCATGTATAAACTTCTAACATTTATTCTGAGACTCAAAATTACTTTACACATTAATAATAATTCCATTATGTCAGTTTCTCAGAATGGATGTAGAAGTGGGACCCGTGGCACTAAAGAGCTCCTTATCATTGACGTGACCATTAGCCAACAGGTACGTCGTAATCTAAGAGTTTGGTGACATGCTGGATAGACGGTAAGAAGGCTTAGGTATGACTCGGTTCCACATATATGGCTTTTGAAGGTGCTAGAGTTGTATAAAATTGATACAACTCTGTGCACTTTCTTAAAGTCATGTATGGTACAATAATAATAATAAATCTTCATTCAGGTAATTTTAAAAAGTTAGTTACTGCTGTCTAGTTAAAGTACATCAAATAATATTCATGTGGCAAAGGGCGGGTTGCCTCTGACCCTCAAACTAGGTGTGTACCTGTGTTTTGGAACGAAGTTCCCTATCGCGCGTTGTGAAAGGGGGCTAGACGGAAAAAAATCTCACGAAAAGTTGTAACGACACTTTTTATTTTGAATTGTCACTTGTCAGTCATTCAGCGCCATCTATCGAATAGATAGGAAATCATTACTTTTCATCTCAGTAAAATTAAAATTTATTTTCTTAGGTTGAGCAAAAAATATTGTATTCGACATCATTTCTCAAGGAGATTTTACCAATGTATAAATAGTTTTAATTAGAAACCAACTGAAAAATATGTAGTAAAATTAAAATCATGTCGAATCAGTTTTACTCGATCGTCACAACTTCGTTCCTATCGGGTGTCCTACGACACCACACGGCTTTTTTTTTAGTCGTTAGTGGTTTCTCGCTCTGGCCACATAATAGGTACAAATTCTTAATACTAAATAATAAACTAGCAAAGGGAACATGCAGCGTGTGTGTATTGTTTATTAAGAATGTATTTAGGTAACATGTGCGTGTAAACAAATGTATGATGTGGATTTAAGTGCTAGTTTTGTGTGAAGGTATGCTTTGTATATCCTTTGTTTCCATAATATAAAATTTGGTGGTATAGCTTAACAATATGTTTCATGTTTGGGTACAGACTGATACATTGCATAATTAGATAAATAAAATACTTATAAATTAAATCTATACAAACAGAGAAAGGTCAGCAAATGTCTGTGTTAAATGTGCTCTCAGGCGCCTTTCATAATCAATGGAGTTCAAGTATCTTTTTATATATATCAAATATCTTTCAGCTTTGCAGTCAATAGCTCCTGTGACATAATTATTCGGCTTTTTGAAGCGCAGACAGGTAGCGCATTTTGCTTCTTCCGTCTTCTTGGTGCAGTCCTTTAGCGAGTGTCCTAACTCCCCGCAGTACCCACAGGTGTATGACGTCTCTCGACACATTTTGGCTGCGTGCCCATACTGCTGGCACTTGTTATATCGAGTAAAATCTCTAACAGGACAAGATAACCAGTTCACAAATACTCTGTCTCTCGTTATTAGGGCTTTTCGGATGTTTGCAGATACTGCAATAACATAGTTACAGGTCTCAGCATCTTTCTTACTCGACTTGGTGCTTAACCTACTTTGAGCTCAGGAACGTTTCAAGGCAGCAGCCCTGCACCTTATCTGCTAGATTCTGGTGGTATAAGCAAGTAAAACTTCCTTTTCCTGCCTGTTTACAATCTGGGCTAACTTTTTAAATTTTTCAATGTCTCCCTTTATGTCCACGCTGATTACGACGCCACCTCTTACTTGCAACTTCATTTGTTGAGGATAGATATTTTTTTTTACAAAAGACTTGGTGTCATCGCTTGATCTGCCTTTATCATTGGGATAAATAACCAATGAGTTCAAGCTTGGCTTTGGAATATAATTTTTAACCATGTCGGCAAATGATGTTCCGGATGTCTATTTGGATGATTCATCAATGGTGCACTTAATGTCATATAGGTTTTTAGATAGGTCAATTTGGTCCTGAAGAGTTTAGGCAGCTGTGCTGGCTCTGAAGGCTTTAATTTTTGAGGGACTAATATTGTACTGCCATTTGAGAGGTACCGCTGCCCACTATTCGACACAATATGCTGATACGTAACTTCTGCTCCGAGTTCATTGCAATGAAGAACTGATGAGCTATAATTCGTTTCTATCTACGAATAATAACTTCGAGAGTTTCTATCCATCCTTTCTCTCATAATCATGCTCTTTAGTAGAGGATTTGATTTCTTGTAGTTTCTAAGATCCGTCGGTATAAAACAATTTGGCTTTACAGACAACCCTAGGCTCAACAGCTGCTCATAAAGACTATTCAACACAATAATTTTGAATGCTTTACGTACTGGAAGTCTCTCATTATACCTATCGAAGTGTGTTTTAAAAATATGAAAGCATGTTTAATAGCGTTTTTATACATGTGTTTGTTGATAAAGTGTGGGAGGGTGAAGAGAGTGATCGGAGGTACTGCAGTAGAATGTGGTATAACGCCTTCGTTTGTATTTTATATCACTATTCATTTGCTATGTCGCGTAACATATTGAAATATACCATTATGCCATTACCATAAATCGAATGGGTAACGTTACAGTTCTGTTTGATTTAAAACCGCGTGCCTTTTAAAGAAGTACAGACAATAAAGATAAGTAGAAATAAAAACACGATAATGTCTTTGCCCGCATGATCAGGGGCTCTAATCCGGTCTCCCAAAGTTTGATTCCTACTTATGACAGCTTCGTAACTCTTATGAGTATCTATATAATTGACAACTTGTAGTTAGGTACTCTAAAGGGAGTGACTACAAGTTTCATCAGAATCTCTAAATCTTCTTTTGTTTAATTACACTCAGTTAGATAAGTCAATCCTAGTAGAGTCGGAATAAATGTGATGAAACTACCAGATCATTTTGATTAACTCAGAGGCTCAAATGATAATCAAATCGGTGGCGTGTTCGTGTTTTTTGCGTAAAAGTGGTCTTATTTATGTTATTGATAGCGTGTTAAATAATACGTTTTTATTTATGTTATACAACTATTCATTATAGATAGATAGATAGATAGATAGATAGATAACTCTTTATTGTACAAAAAAATATAATAAAAAGAAGAAATCAGTTTGTATACATTGTGTGTCTTATATCTAAAGTTAAATTAATGTAACATGGAGAGTAAAGTGTTAAAATTTGTACAATTGGCGGCCTTATCGCGTTTTGCGATCTCTTCCAGGCAACCACTGGATGGAGAAGGAGAATAGGAGTGAGATAGGGGGTTGCAGTTTGTAGATCGGAGTTTTTTGTAAATTAAGACTAACGACTATTTGATTATACAAACTAATTATTAATTAAATTTGATTATTCAAACATATACACTAAACACATACACACATCACTACACAATAAATTCATTACACAAAATATACATTAAACAGTGACTATAGAAGTAAGAGACAGATAAATATAAGATTTCTGACTGAGTGAAGGGACCCTCGCTTAGCAGCTTCGGAAATGCTCCTTCAGCAACCTTTTGAAACAAGGCAGTGTTTGTGCTCGTCTGATGGGCAGTGGCAATGCATTCCACAAGCGTATAGACTGCACTGTAAATGACTTGTCCATAAAAGTCGAGGTGTGCTTCGGCATTTCCAAAGTCAAGCTCTCTGACGATCTTAAGGACTTTGAATGCATATCACGTAGGAATCTGAAGCGTTCCTTTAAATAAAGGGGAGTGTTGGGATTAAAGAGAATATTGTGTAATAGTGAAAGGATATGAATATTCCGGCGAAGACGAATGAGTAACCAGTTAAGCTTATTCCGAAATTCAGAAATATGGTCAAATTTGCGCAATCCAAAGATGAACCTTATGCAAAAGTTTTGGAGCCGCTCAACCTTATTAAGTTGGTCTTCGGTGAGATTGCGATAGCTGGTATCTGCGTAGTCAAGGATTGGGAGAAGAAGGGATTCTGCAAGGGCAATTTTGGTCGTAATTGGTAAAAAGTTACGCAGCCTTCTCAGAGATCCAACAGAAGTAAACAGTTTCCTACTGACTTCTTGTAGTTGCGGACCCCAAGACAAGTTTTTATAGAGGTGAATTCCCAGATTTTTAATGGTGTTCGAGATCGGAACTAAGGCCCTATCGCAGTATATTTGGGGCTGATGTGACCAATCGACTTTTGATAATGTCCTAGTGCCACCGATAATGATTGTTTGTGTTTTAGATGGATTCACTATTAATCCGTATTGCCTGCTCCACGTACAAATCTACTCTATATCCCGGTTAATAATCGAGATCGCTGCTCCTAGTTGTTCCACGGGTGCTTGAGCATAGATCTGCAAATCGTCTGCATAAAGGTGGTAAGATGAAGCTAAGTTATTGGAAATAGAGTTTATAAAAACCACGAAGAGCAAGGGAGATAAAACGCCACCCTGTGGTACGCCGGCAGTTGTAGTGCACCAACCAGAGAGTCTTTCATCGATTCGAATACGCTGCCGACGCCCGAACAGGTAGTTACGAAACCAGTCAACAACCGTCGGAGATATGTTAAGAGAGCACATTATGGCAAGCAAGACGTCGAAGTCAACAGTGTTAAAGGCGTTACTAAAGTCTAGCAGCGCCAGCACAGTTAGCTTGCCATCCTTGCCATCAAAGCCTGACCGTATATCGTTCGTGATATGAACCAGTGCGGTGGTGGTGCTATGTCCAGGATGAAAACCAGATTGGAGGGAATTCAGAAGGGAATTTTTACAAAGATAGGGATTAATTTGGTTGTAGACAAGACGTTCGAGAGTTTTAGATAGGAAGGGTAGGATAGAAATCGGACGATAATCGGAGAAACTGGATGGATTTGATTTCTTAGGTAATGGAGTTACTAATGCTTCTTTCCAAGCAGTTGGAAAGTTTCCGGTTGCCATGGAGAAGTTAAATATGTGAACAAGGACAGGAATGATTTCTTCTAGGATAGGCAGGATCATATCACGGCTGATACCATCGCTACCAACTGCGTTGGAGTTAATAGAGAGTATGCTCTTCCTAACATCACAATCGGAAAATTGACTAAAGACAAATGTAGGACAGTCTAGAGTTGGGAGAGAAGAAAGATATTGTATCGTGTTATTTTTTATTGTCCCGTCAAAAGGAGACGACGTGGAGAAGTGTTGATTCATCAATTCGATATTTACGTTTTTGGAAGCCGTATGTTGCCGTGACTTCCCAACTCCTAGTGATCGAAGAAACTGCCAGACCTTGGCCGGATCCCCATGTTCAACAGAGGTATGGATGAATTGGCGTTGTGCATTCCTACATACCTTGTTGCAGCGATTCCGAATTGCGACGTATTTCTCCCAATTTGTACTAGTTGGACAGCGCTTAAATCGGGACTTAACTGCGGATTTTTTAGACAAGAGGAGTTTTATATCTGCAGTAAGCCAAGGAGATGGCAGATGCTTGACTTTTATTTTGCGCAGTGGAGCGTGTATGTTGTATAGACTGATCAGAGTATTATTGAAAAAGTCTACTTTTTGGTCAATGGAACCCAATTCATATAAACGACCCCAGTCACTGCTTAGAGCTGCAATAGAAATATATATGTATATATATAAGAAAAACAAAAAATAATAAATAATAATAATAAAAATAATACAATATAGACCGAAAAATGTATAATGTTGGCGACGCCAAACGTAAATAAATAAATAAATAAATAAATAAATATAGGGATAGAAAACTATAATACAAATATACAAGTTGTTTTAACTTGTAGTGGTAAATCTGTGGCGACTTCTACATACAGTGAAACCAAAACATATTACAGCGCCCTCTAACAAAGACACATCGAACTACGAAGTGACTACTAATCCTGTGTCGCGATATGGATGGTTCTCACGTTACTCAAAAAGTAAATTTCAATAAAACGTGTAGCGCGAAGCCACGCATATATGGGTGCCAGTATTAGCCAGCTAAATAAACCATAATACAAAGACGCGATGTGAACGCAAAACTACTGTTTAGCAAAGGAAATACAAGAAACGAAAGTTACGCTCACGATATTGATAAAGATTAAAAATAATATCCATATCTTGAATAGGGGTGACTTAATACGTTATTACATCGTTTGAAACCGTGACTTCGTATAAAAATTTACCATCTTATAATGTTTCAGTATCGTATAACCGCGGGACATTAGACAGTCTATTGTGAAAAAAATATAATACACCATTGTTTAATAAAAAGATAATAATATATAAATCACGTTAGACAGCAAGCTTTTCCCCTTAATTTAGAAAGAGAAGTCAATATCGATTTTTGACCTTGTAACTTTTAGTTGAAGTTTTGGAACGAAGTACGTTATCGCGCGTTACACCCTCTGAGTAGATGGGAGCGAGTCCGAAAAATGCGTGACAAGACTTTTTTCGACACCTCAGTTGGCGCGTCGACGTTCACATCTTTTTCATATTTTGGAACGAAGTTTCTTATCGCGCATTACACGTTCTGAGCGGATGGGAGCGAGACCGAAAAATGTATACCAAGACTTTTTTGCGACACTTCAGTTGGCGACGCCAAACGTCTACCAAAAAGAGACAGGAACTTCGTTCCAGCCGGGGGTCCATAGACCTCACACGCCGTTTCATATATAGCAAACGTTTACAAAAAAGCGTTTTATTCCTTATCTTGAATTTTATTATTTAAACAATAAATAATTATTCAAAATTTGTAATAATGAAACAAGAAATATACCTATAAATGAAATTTTAATAGGACTTATGAGATATTAATAAAAAGGCCTAGTAAGCCTAAACTTCCCTACAAATATGGCTCATACTAAACTAAATGTTTTAACCATTGTATTTTTTAGGTAAACAACCTGATGTAGCTTCGTTACGAAACTCGAGCAATCTAAAACATTTATGTGGGGCCACTGTCATATCACCGCGTTTTGCTCTAACTGCAGCCCATTGTGTGACATCCAAAGCCGATGAATACGTACTGAAACTGAATAATGTTTGCGTTAAAGACCATGACATAGCCCCGTCAGCCACAATTTTGGAAATAATTATAAATCAATCATATGATCCGTAAGTATTAAACTGATTCGTATTTTTTTTTAGTACGAAGTTCCTTATCATTTTTTAGGTTTATAAACCACCGTAAGGAACGAACTAAACTGAAGATTACCGTCTCGAATATAAACAATAACAGGCTTTTTACAAAGTTTTTCCAACCCCAGAAAATATTTTTCTTTCTCGGTGACAGATACCCTATGTTTTTTGTTAGGTGCCTATATCTATGCAAAATATTCATTCGTATTTATAAAATTTAGTAAATAAAAATCGTAAATAAGGTTTAAACAACAATACTTACATAAAATGGAACGAGATTGGGATTGAATAATCCGCGGCAACACTACATTCACACGTTTGATTTCAGAGTCACGAGAGCGCACGACATAGCCATTTTGCGGTTTGCTGTTCTTGATGACATAACCTGGCTTAAACATACATTACCAAGATCCTCCTTCGGTTTATCAGGTAATTGTGCTATGATGTAATCTTTAGGGATATATGGAACAGGCGTAAATACCAAGTAATAAATGCACCATTGGACGCTTAGAGAAAATTCCGTTGCTACGTTGTAATACTTATTTTAAGAACTTTATCTTCTTAGTTTATTTGTGAACAGATTAACCAGTAATAACAAATTGTTTACACGTTTTTAGGGTTCCGTAGCCAAATGGCAAAAAATGGAACCCTTATGGATTCGTCATGTCTGTCTGTCGGTCTGTCCGTCCGTATGTCACAGCCACTTTTTTCCGAAACTATAAGAACTATACTGTTGAAACTTGGTAAGTAGATGTATTCTGTGAACCGCATTAAGATTTTAACACAAAAATGAAAAAAAAAACTATAAATTTTGGGGGTTCCCCATACTTAGAACTATAACTCAAAAAAATATTTTTCATCAAACCCATGCGTGTGGGGTATCTATGGATAGGTCTTCAAAAATGATATTGAGGTTTCTAATATAATTTTTTTCTAAACTAAATAGTTTGATAAAACAAAAAAAATAAATGATGTACATTACCATGCAAACTTCCACCAAAAATTGGTTTGAACGAGACTAGATCTAAGTAGTTTTTTTTTAATCTATACTAATATTATAAAGCTGAAGAGTTTGTTTGTTTGTTTGTTTGTTTGAACGCGCTAATCTCAGGAACTACTGGTCCGATTTGAAAAATTCTTTCAATGTTAGATAGCCCATTTATCGAGGAAGGCTATAGGCTATATATCACCACGCTAAGACCAATAGGAGCGGAGCACCAATGAAAAATGTTTCAAAAACGGAGAAAATTTATTACTATTGAGAGACGCAGACGAAGTTGCGCGGGTCAGCTAGTACGTGATAAATCTATAACTTAATTTAAATAAATACACTATTATTAAAACATCGATCAAAGTTACAACGAACTACAAGAACTTTTATATTATGTTACTTCCTGCTACGGAACCCTTCATGGGCGAGTCCGACTCGCACTTGGCCGCTTTTTATTACTAGCTATTTAAATGTTATATGGCACATGCAATAAAAATGCCCGAAGATCAGTGCACTGATACTTACTTCTAATAAAAAGACTAGAAAAAATTATGAATATAACTAGTAACATACTTATCTATTTATAAAAATGTAACTATTCCAACAAATTTAACTTTGTACCTACTCTATACTCAGTGGTATCGAACGCCGCGATTGCAGTTGGATCCTCGGCCACATACCTAACAATTTTCAGAGTTCATTTACTACCAGTCGTAGTATTTGAACTATTAAAAACTTGCTTAGTACTATAACAGTATACAATTTTTTTTTTCTTTAGAAGAGCCTTAAAGACTTAGATCGTCTAGTTCAGATATAATTTAAGCATGGAGGACAACGACCGCATTTCAGGTGAATGTGCAGTATATGGATACGGTTATCGAGACGTTCGAACAAAGGAAACTTCAGAGATATTGTTGGCCGGCACGTTGAGAATAATATCATTAGATGAATGTGAGAGGAGACTTGGTCCATTCGTGACTCCAAAATACGACCACGGCATGTTGTGCGCTACTGGTGATGGCATCGACGCTTGCCAGGTAACGTATAGTAGAACAATAAAATGATTAGTCGACGTAAAAAAGTATTAAACGGTGAGATCTTGATAAAAAGCTTGGCTTTAAAATATTGACTTGTGGCATGGTAAGTTTTAAAGTTTAGCTGTTCACGATATATAATTTTATCAATAAGGGAATTTACGCAATGAATAAAAACGATGATTTATTTCTCCACATAATACATTTTTACATAAATATAGCTTGCACAAGAATTATTACTACATTAAGATCAACATTTATAAAAAGAAGAAAGATTACCTGTTAAGTATGTAGAATTGATTCGTACTATGTACAGAGAGTCTAGCACTCATGTACGGTCGGTCACTGATCAATTTGGTTTCTCTGTAGGCTAGCACCAGGGATGCGTCCTAAGCCCATTCCTCTTCCTGTTGAGATGGAGGAGGCACCTTTGTTCATGCTGTTTGCAGATGACATTATGTTGGTCGGTGAAGACGGGGATGAGGTCCAGAACAGACTGGAAAAAGTTTTCTAGTTCTGCTGATTTTTAAGTCAACATTCTCCAGAATGTTGCCTTGAAAATTAGCAGAGCTAAATTTGAGCACATGTTCTCCGGCTCTGCATACATACGAAGCTCATTTGTAATAATAATTTGTAATGAAAATATTTTTATATTTTTTTTTTCGATGTTTCAAAAATAAACCATACGTGCTATAGCTAGACATTTGGTATACGAGTATATAGAAAAGTCTATTGATACCGCTTCTCACTGTTTAGAAAGTTAACTGTTTTTTTTTTATTAATATACTATCTATGACTACTAAATAAAAAATAAATGAGTGATTATGTTTAAAATGCATAGAATAACTCTTCTCTTCACTTACTAATTTAAATTAATAAAACTTCTTCTAGACTAGAACTGTGTGTTCTAGTCTAGAAGACAAACAAATAGACTTTTAAACTCCCATTTTCATAGGCATATTTTTATTAAAGAACTAAAACAAATTCAGTAATTTTGCCTATAATTGATATTATACAACATACATTAGTATGTGTGCATTTAAATACGCATTCTTACTTTAGGGCGACTCTGGCAGTCCTTTGATTTGTGCTGGAGGTACAGTAGAGGGCATCAGTAGCTACGGAATGAGCTGTGCAGTGCCTGGTATTCCCGGAGTTTACACAAGCGTGGGATTTCATTTGGAGTGGATTCGAAAAGTTATAAAAGATGAGTGGAATTAATATTGAAGTGTCTCCATATTAAAGTTATATCATGATATCTACGACGTTGTTAAATAAGTACCAATTACCTGCGTGACATACGCACTATTAGCACATAACCACACACATAACACACACACATAACCACAGCACCACATATTAATAAATTGTCAAGTAGACTCAGCTCAGCAGCATACGCAGTAAGAAAAATTCGAGAGTTGACTGATGTTGATACAGCATGCCTTGTTTACTTCAGTTATTTTCATAGCATAATGTTCTACTGTGGGAGAATGCTGCCGACATTCCAACTATTTTTGTACTGCAAAAGAGAGCGATTCGAGCACTTTATAATTTAGGCAATCGTTGTTTATTGAGGCAGAAATTTAAATTCCGATTTTATAATAAAATCCCAAATAATATTCAAGACTTGAGTATTAACAAATTTAAATCCGCAATAAAACATGGCTTGTGCCAGAGGGACTATTACGCAATTGTGGATTACATAGAAGACAAAAATGCTTGGGATTAATTAGCGCAGGCTATTCCTTAAGAAAAAATGTGGTGTGGGCTGGTGTGTTTTTATTATTATTAATTTTCTATTTTTTATGGTTCACTTCAATCCCTCTTTTATTCGATTTTTGTTTCTTAATCTTGTTTTCTCTTCATTGTATGTTTACCTTTTAGTCCTTAATAACGGACACACTGGCTCACATCAAAACAATGTTGTGGTATATTTAATAATGCCATTCTATGTATCTGTGAATCACAAAAGAGTAACCATGAGTTTGTTTGCCTTTCTTCTCATAAGGGTCAACCAATTGGAAACAGACTGTTGTAGATCGGCGCAGGCAGATCATAGATTTTGTATAAGTTTAATTTTTATTAAATTTATTTGCATACTATTTGAAAAAACAGAGATTGTTGCTATTGTGTGTGTTGATCTTTGACTTTAGAGTCTACATAAAAGACAATTTCAAACAATTTTAAAAATTTATGAAACAAAGAAGAGTTTGAGTTAATTTTACCCTTTCTTTTGTGCGAAAATTCCCCTCGGATACTACCGATGGCGGTTTTGTCGGACTCGAAACGACTAAAAACCTCACGTCGTCTCGGGTAGCCGGGGAACCACGTGTACGCTAGAAAGGTAATCCCTGGCACACCCACGGACAACGGGCCATCTACGTCTTGTACATGACCACCTCCTGTTCTCTTTCACACGATGTTTTCTTCCCCCTAGAGGGCGCGCGTTCTCCACCACGCATAGCACCGTACATACATAATTTTAACCTCTAAGAATAAGCTAACTGTTTTTGTTAGAAGAAGACCCCTTTGGTCCGGAATCTCAATCTCTCAATTGGATGTCTTTATCAAACCCGCTGTTTAAGACATTGAAGGTATTATACGTGAAACAGACAACTAGTGACGAGCGACGTCTAGAATTTTTTCACTTTCGCGTTCTATGATATACGATAAGATTAATATGAATTACAGCGATCAATTGGGTAAGTATATCTACAAATAAATAAATGAATTACGTTGTAAATATATCTTTTCGGATAATTCTACACTTTAATTATTTCTGGTATAATTAGATGACGTAGATATTGCCTATGACTAACCTTAAAAAGAAACACCGAAACAAAGTACATATATATAACAAAATATGCAAGTGCCATATAGGCGTCCAGGGTGATTTTATATAAATGAAATATATCAGTTCTTACGTGCTCAATCCCGCTCCCCAATAGACTACGTCAGTTATCAGGGAACTCAACCGGCCCGTCACCGCAATCAGAGCTTTGGGTAGACCCATGCAAACAACAAAGAATACCATACTGCTGTAAAGCCTCTAAATGTGTAAATTCTCTCAGAATTCACACTCGCAAGCGAGTAAATGGCATGCAAGCGTTTAGTTTTTTTTGGGACTAATCCCACCCACACGCCCACCACTGTAACTCCTGTACACCAGGATCCACAGCACTGACCCACGAATACACCGAGTTATGATACTCGGGCAGTCCCAGGAAAAATATAAACTGTCTTGGAACCCGCAAAGAAATTAATCAGAATAAAATTGGAGGAGTTGGAAATACAGTAAATCCACTTCCCTGCTTAGTAAAGCGGGCAAAGCCTCAGTGCTAATCGTCCTAAATGCCTTGCACAAGAATATCAGTGCAAGTCGTTGGCCTTGTAACAGTTTGCGAAGGACAGCGCCAACGGCTGCCCTATAGGCCCATACAGGTGCACCATAGCACATAGAACCTAAATAAGTAGCTCCGTATATGATATTTAGTGTATTAAATTATAGACCCCATGTCGCAGTTGATATCCTTGTCAATGCACAGAAACTCTTTTTAGACTTTTTAATATGTTCGTTAAATGAAAAGTTTCTTTCTAAAACTAATCCTAAATAACTCAGTAAGGTTTTATTTTTTACAGTTTACGAATTTAATGCTCGGCGGTGATTTGAGGGTATCTTTTAAAAGTAGCTGGAAGGTTTTGTTGGGTGCAAAAGTTAAGCGATTACGTTCACCCCAATGAGATATCAAGTTCTAAGAGGTTTGTAAAGACTTTGAGCTTGTGAACGTTTGCCAAGCCTCGGCACGCATGTAAACTAGGCATGAGAGAAACGACTCGCGGGACTCATCACAGGACAGGGGGGCGAGCCGCGGGACGAAATTTCGTCCGTCACTTGTTTCACTAGGCAAGCATTGTCTATTGAATTGTCTATTGTCAAGCATTGTCTATTTCAGTTACTTTGACAGCAATTCCATTCTCACCTGAAACTCTTAGACCCTTGCCAAAGGCGCCACCAAGGAACGGAAATCAAACAAATAGACGCAAAGTGAAATCCGCTATCTTAACCAACACTCCCGTAAGGTAAGAACTAGCTGCAATCGAGGCAACTAGAATGGCTAAGAAAAAGGTAAAAAAACTTAACTTTGAAGAAATAAAAACAAGAAAAAGATCCAAACTAGGTACTAAAACTAAAAAGATCAAGGATCAGTGAAGATAAAGAAGGATCTTTTTGCCTTTGTTGGTTAGAGCCATATTAAATTAGCAGAGCCAGAGAAAAATGGGTGTTATGTCTGGTATGCAAAAACTGGGCTCATGAAGCTTGCACTGCTTCTCTGACTGATGTTTTTTATTTTTATAATATTTTTATTTTTGACATTTGTGAGATTATTGTAACTTAAATATTTGAAGAAATATTGATTAAGACTGATTGTAATAGGTACTTAAGAAATGACTGAGAGTTAATAATTATTTTATGGCAAAAAAACATTTTGTTTATCTGACTGGTATTTTAATTAATGTTACAAATAGGACGTTATGGTACTTTTAACTACTTTAAGAGTTGTTTATTTCTATTAATCTTTAGTTACCTACTTAACTGATATATCAGTACAAAATATTAATAAAAAAGTTTGTTTCGTACTATAAAAGTTTTATTTTAATAAATACCTTTAAATTAATTATATCATAATTTTTATTTTACAGCCCTTAATACTTCTCAAAAATCAAGTTTCTCTCGGCGCCTGTTTCATCTTATATCGGTATGAGGGGAGTTGAAACAAGTTGACTTGTTACGGTTAAGTCGATTTTTCACCACAATGTTTAAGGCTTACAATTTCTTTATGTTAGTCATTCGCAAGTGTAAAGAATGACCTATCGATTGGTACTAATTTCATACGATTTCTGTCTATAGTATTTGGTGTATGAAACAAAATGTCAAAATTGTTTCAACTCCTCTCGGTCTCCCTACATAAGTTCCTTTCAACCTTTACTAATGTATTTTGTAGCACTGCGATAAGAAAATATTCACTTACTCATTCAAGCATACGGCGAGATTACACACATTTTAGATAAGTATATTTTGTCTGAAAGAAAATGTATTTCTCATTTCATAACTCATTTGGTTTGTTTTAATAAGAGCGCCACATTACATTTGGTAACGAGGATTTAATGATACATCCTGGAGGTGGATAGTGGAAGTTGTCAATGGGTTTGAGCCACCACCTTTCGAGTTTAAACTATAACCGCCTTATTACACAATGCAGTTTAGTTTTAACTCCGAGTGAACAGGATAGTTTTAAGTAGTGATGTGCCGGATCGTTAACAAAGTATATCCGCAGATACGGATCCGAATACGGATATTTGGTGTCAAGATCCGCGGATACCGATACGGATACGGATCTTAAGTTTCTTACTCAATCGGAGCCCGTGACCTTGATTGTTGTCGCCACTTGACGCTTTGCCGTTGATATTTAAATATTTCATTATTTTAATAAGCTAATACAAAAATGTTTGATTGATCTCATTATAGAGATAGCTCTTTCAGTACCTAATATTTGTTTTAAGAAATAATCTGAACTAAGTAATCTGAACATAATTCAACAGTTTTTCATAGCTACCTAATAACCATTATTCAGGGTTATTTTAAATTTACTGAAAACCTCTAAGTGCATATTAGTAACATTATAAACAACAACTTTTCTTCTGGACTAACACCGAAAACGAAAGAAAAAAATGTGTCTCCATAAAAAGTAACAACATTTGATTGGTCATTTGAATGGAGGACCAATGTTTTTTCAATTTGACGTTGGCCAGAAAAAAAAGTGCTGTTTATAGTGTTACAAACACATACCTAAGAGTTTTACAGTGAATACAAAATCACCTATATAGAATTTCATCTATGTATTGAAAGAGCCGCCAAAAAAGTCACGGATACGGATACAGTTACGGATCTCTCTTCTCCCTTGGATATCCGCGGATACGGATACGGATATCCGGCACATCACTAGTTTTAAACAATTTATTGCTTCAAATCATGTTTTCAAGTTCTGTAAACGGATCTGGATTATAAGGCTAATCACGTTTTGTATTAAGAAATTCTTCAAAACCACCCCGAATTTTTTTTTACGTGTGGAAATCTCGTTTAATTCCTAAATAAACCTCGTTGTATTACCTCGGGCCGTCACCCTACCGGGGTTTGCGACATAGTGGTGTGTCGGAATCGG